AGGCCGTCCGTGGCTCCAACTTCACGACCGACGAAGTCTGCAAGCTTGTCCGGTCATGGATCAACATCTCTCAAGATGCGTCCAAGGGTAGTACTCATCACGCATCACCATATCGTCCATGATTCGTTCAAACAGCGGTCTGGCCATTCGAAAATGACGGCGAAACTTGGCTTCGCCGTAGATTGGATTGGGGCCAAAGTAGTCACGGTAAATCCGAGCATGCGCAGCCTCGCTATCTCGTGGTAGGTTTGGCTGGCGGTTGACAGTAGAGCCTTTAGGGTGCGCAGAAGACTGATGAAAGCCAAGAATCTACCAAGCTTGATCCATGTCATCATCGTCGTCCTCCCACGTCATCATGCCTTCGCACAAACGTCCGCGCCAGGCGTTCATTTCCGGATAAAAAACATTATTTGGATGTTTTACAGTTTTACCGCTGGGGTTGACGAAAATCAAAATACAGGAACTGTAAAACGATATTTTACAGTCTGATTATGGTGGGGATGCCTAGGATGTTGTTGGCATCATCGTCACAATCGCCGTAATCTGTTTTTAATAGATGTTATCATCGGGTGGCGAAAGGTGTAGGAGTCGACATGCTGAAGAGGGCAAGAACTAACTTCTACAGTACGTGGTATGGAACGAAGAGAGAGATGGGGCCTTGTTCGATTCACTTGTAGGTACTGGTACGACATTCCTTCGGCCAAGTTGCACATGCATTCAGTTCCCATACCTCCCTGTAAGTTGGGCGTACCCGCTGCCTCCCCACCGACCCTCTCAAGTTTTGGTCTTACAATGCTGTCTAGAAAAAGTTCCGCAGCCGACCCCAGCTCATTCACGGCGTGTTTAAAGTAGGGGCCAGGGGTTGGCTGGCGACGCCACTTTACAGCTGGGATTTCGAATCCTGAATTGAGCGGACCACCATAACCCGCTTCCAATAAGCTCACCCCTTTTGCCCACTTACCGTTCTGTAATTTCTTGATCATGAAGCCCTCACGACCAAGGCCCCTTCAACCACCTAGCACCAATGCACCCAACGCCCGAAAAGAACCAAGACATCCAACACCAAAACACCCTCCCCCACGAAAAACTGCCAATCCAACCCCCGAACCTTTGTCATC